CTTTTCAAGTCTCAAGGTCAATCAGGGTCACTGAATAGCATGTGGGTTCTTCAGGTTTCGAGTAGGTTCCGTGAAGGCTTAGGCCCTCTGGGAGTGTTAGGAGCCACTGAGGATCATTTAGGATCTTTTATGACCACTTAAGGACCTTTTCTTCCTGCATAAGATTTTAAAAATTCATTCAGGATCATTTAGCATAATTATTGTTGTTAAGGATTTAGATTTTAAACGTTTTAGGTTTTACAGTGGTTTGGAACTGTTGAAGGTTATTTAGCATTTGGTGTCAGTTAGAGCTTTTTAATTATATCTTGATTTCCTTAAGGTTATTTGTGGCCTTTTTCATTGTTATGGTCTTTCAAGGGTATAGCCCTTTGAACACACATGCTGCCTGCCAGCTCTGGAAAGACTCTCAGCCTTTATAAGCATAACCAATGGATACAGACACCAGGGGGGTGAGGGCATGAACGGGAGTGAGGTGGGGGGGCAGTAGGGGGATAAGGACACATATGTAATACCTTAATCAATAAAGAAAAACAGAAAGAAACCGACTCAAAGCCTGTCTCCAGACAGGAGCCCTGCCCCAGGCTGTCCAGCCTCTCTCCTTGTGTTTGTGTTGTCTCAACTTGTCCTTGGATAGTTGGTTTTACCCTTTTCTGTACAGGACTCTGAATCTTAAACTGCGATGTCATTTTTGTCTTGTTTCTGTTTTTTAAATTGTCTCTGGTTGAGCCCCTGTGATGAATATACTAAATAAATACATTTGGGTTTATTTTTTAAGGTGCACGAGGTAGGATGGGGAATAACGAGTGTCCTGTGTGCCCAGGGGGACAAAACACATCCAGAATCTTCCATAAAAGGCCTTGCTTAGCTACGCAGGCAGTGCATCTGGGTCGGAACTCACAATCAAGAGAACTTCAGAATGCAAGAAACTGAAAGCAGACAGCCTGACAATGTATTCTGGCTAACCTCGGGTTTCCAGAATTTCCAATAGGTTTTTTTTCCCTCCTTTTGAAAGCTTTTGTTTGTCCAGTGCCTGAAAGCATTGAGAGTACAATTAGAAAGTGGGTTTGGTATCCAGGGTAACTGAGCATAAACCCAAGGAATCCCCCAATTTCTCACCCGGAGACTCCATCCTTCAGGCTGCTGTACACGCAAGACATCAGGGTGACTGACCTTTCTCAAAGGCCCTGGCATTATCACTATGGGTGTGATCCTCCCATACTGGTGGGTGTGTGTGTGTGTGTGTGTGTGTGTGTGTGTGTGTGTGTGTCACATTACATGCACACACACATGATTTGGGCACATACGAACTGCATTTCAATTGCATGCTGGGCCTCCTGTTACAACAGGGATGTTGAGGCCTTTTGCTTGAAGAAAACTGGCCCCAGCAGTGAGATGAGAGCCTAGCTGGCTTTAATTTTTGTTTTTTATGTGTTTTTGCATATATATGTGCTTTTGGAACTTCAATATTTTTGAATGTAGAAACATAAAGAAAAGAAAGCCAGGTACAAACATAAAGAAAATGTCATCTCCCCCTTCCAAGGTAACTTTTTTCATAGACTTTTATACATCACTCTGCAATCATACTGAAGATGCTATTTTATTCACTTTAATAATAATATTTTCTAAGTTTTAAAATAAACTGTATACTATACTTGTAATGGCTAAATAATATTCATAATTATGTTCTTATTTTACCTGTTGCCTTGTCACAAAAAGAAGGAAGAAGTTCTCTTTGGCTATTTTGTTTTAATCAAGGCATAACTACTTGGCTTGTTATGAGCATTACTTCCAACATTTTGGGGAGAGCTTCTGTCTTTGTAATCCATAAAGAGGTTTACCTTTCCATTTTCATTTTTATTTTAGAATCAAGAGATTTTATTGCTGATACTTAGAAGTAAAATGTGTATATATTCACATTGTTTTGGCAACCTTGCAAAATTTATTTAATATTTCTAACGAAGTCTCTATCATGACCATTTTAAATTCAACTTTTTCTTGTGTGTTTTTTTAATGGGTCATAGATGTTAGAATTTGTTCTTTCTGCTTAGTTAGTGCAAGCACTTTTGGTCAAACTACTTAAATTTATTTTTGTGACAACTCGTGCTATTGCCAAAATTTGGTTAAGGAACTTGACCAATAAAAGTGAACAATACATTACATTTCTGTAATTCTGTCCCTTACCTTTAGAATCTTTCCTTGGGGACATTTTGGATTCCAGACTTTGTATAGTCCCACGCATTCAATATTTGCTGTGTGTGGGAGTTCTCATCAGCAGTTTGTTCCGGAAATTATACCCCGGACATCTCTGAGACATACCGACTTTCCATTGGCAAAACATGCCCACGCTGTTCTGTTCATCCTGCCCCAAAGTTGGCACCCGCTACCGTCCCGGGAGCCCAGGTTTCTCTCAGCGGCGGATATTGTAAAAGACCCAAACCTGGGTGCTATCGACCCTTAGATGGTCATGCGGGCATGGTCAGGGTGACATTCAAAGTCACAAAGTAATGCTAACGTGCCCAATGTTAAAACCCACTGAGAAAAATGGGTTTGTAATGTAAGAACATTGGAATCAGTATTATCAAAACACTGACATATAAAATATCCGAATTATTGTTTGCCTTCCACCAGAACATGTGTTTAGATATCCTAAGATATAAACTTAACCTTTTAAACTTTATAAAGTTTAAGCTTTATAAACTGTTATACTTTATAAAACTTGAACTTTTTCCAACTTACGGCTTCATCTTAAAAACCTCACATATGAAAATTACAATAAGCTGCTTTGGGGCCAGTGTGTAGAGAACCATAATCATCTCCACCTGGGGCTCTGTGAGAGCGACAGGGGTGCTGTTGACAATTACACCGGAACAACAGACAGAACTGGAACTGTCCTGGCCAAACCAGGACTTACAGCCCCTACCAAAGGGCCTGTAGTTTTAAAACTTTTAAAGTTAACTTATCTATACTAATAAAAGGGTAATGTGCTAATTAGATCAGGTCGACTGGCCATCTTCCGGATGTCCGACTTCCTTCTGGACAAAGCCATGGTGGTGGGGGCTGAGGCAGAGGCAGTTAGGGGCAAAGAGGCCGGCAGGGAAGGGCAGTTGGGGGTGAGATCAGGCCGGCAGGGGAGGGCAGTTGGGGGCAACCAGGCAGGCAGAGGCCATTAGGGGCGATCAGGCAGGCAGGCAGAGAGGTTAGGGGCGATCAGGCAGGCAGGCAGGTGAGTGGTTAGGAGTCAATGGTCCCAGATGGCGAGAAGGATGTCCGACTGCCCCCAAGGGGTCCCTGATTGGAGAGGGTGCAGGCTGGACTGAGGGACACCCCCCCTGCACAAATTTCGTACACCGGGCCACTAGTATACTTATAAAGTATATACTTATATAAAGTTAATTTATCTATTTATATAACATATACTTAACTTAATTCATAAGTAGTAATTTTTATGTTGCATGATTTTAAAATAAAAAGAACAAGTTCAATTTTCAGTAGGTTTGCTTGCATTTAAGCATGTCAGCCAAGCCTGTACAAATGAATTTGAAACCTAATCAAATGTATTCAAAACTTCACAGCAAAGTCTTGTGCTCACAGCAAACTCCACTCGGCGAAAATTTCATTGCCTAAAATGGGCAACGCCAAATTATTCATGAAATCTGTCTCCACAAAGCAAGGCAAGAACTGCTGGCGCCGTTGGCAGAAGGCTGTTAGCATTTGTTGGATGGTTGTAAGCACTCTAACTTCGATGGCTTACTGCCTGATTTGGAGTCTCAGTGGGGCCCCCACATGGACCATTTATCATATTTTGTCTATGTCACCTACATTGACATGTACATCCACACGCTGTACAGCCAAAAACCTCCCTGCCTTAGAAGTGTCAACCATCTGCCCATCTACTGCACCCAGCTTCATTAATTCAGCAACTAAAAAGCAACTGCTTTGAGTGAAAACTCTAAATATAGGAAATCAAAACAACGCTTAAAGGGAATAGTGATTTATCTAAACTTTTCTCTTTTCAAAAAACATATAAGCATTGTTTGAGGGCATTGCTAAAACCTTGTCTTGGATGTTACCTTTATAGAGTTGGGGTCAGCAGCTTGGCGTGCTGAGAGGAACACCCCATCTCCTAAAAGTATTAATAAAATTATATTGGTCATTGTTTATGCTCCATGGCCAGTTTCCTAGGAAGGTAACTATCAATCACACATTCAAACATTATGAACCAACCACATACTCCTCTGAGTTCATCAGAGTTTTCCAGAAAAACAGAACCAATAGAATGTGTATCCATAGAGAGAGATTTAGTTTAAGGAATTGGCTCACACAATAGGGGAGGCTGGAGACCCAGGGAAGAGCTGATGTTGCAACTCAAGGCCAACGGCAGACTGGAGGTAGAATTCCTCTCCCTCAGGGGAATCCGTCTTTTTCCGACTGTTTTCAACATTGTGGAGGGGAATCTGCTTTCCTCACAGTCTGCTGATTTAAACATTAATCTCATGTTTAAAAATACCTCCACAGCAACATCTAGACTAGTGTTTGACCAAATACCTGGTGCCGTGGCCTAGCCAAGTTGACAGGTAAAATTAACCATAGGGTGGAACTTGGCCTTAGTCTGAGGTCCTACACTTGGTGACTCCAAGGGGGCTGCCTCCAACAGAGGTGGCTTGGCCATTTTGTAGACGAGAAAGCCAAGTCCTAGATACAGGTTCCGTGAGTTAGTCCCAACAAGTCAGGACAAACATCCAGCCTCATCGAATGATAGTTCCCAGCCCTTTCCACTGCTACTCCTGTCTCCACCAGGGCCTGAACTCAAGACGTATATAGGAACACCCTCATTTCACTTATTTGGAATATTACAGCCAGGTCCTAATCCATTCAAACTGTAAACTCTAGGCCAAGGAAATCAACTTTCCTCCTGGGCGCACTCTCACATTCCCATCCCACACCCTCACATAGCACAGAGCTCCCACCCAGCCGACACACACAGACCATCCCCAGGGGACTGCTCTTTGAAAAGTGCTTTATTTAACAAGATCTAAGTCAGATGCTTTAAAACATATCAAAACGTTACACGGCTTCCTATGAGGCCTTGTCAAATTATGTTAAGACACCTAAACGCATCGATTCATAAGTTCAGAACCAAGCATTAAACCAGGTCATGTACCTTTGCTAAAAGTCAAGTTATGATGAAGAAAAGAACATTTCACGAAGCTAAAACAAGTGGGGGAAACCCTTCGGAAACACTAGCAAAAACACACGGAAACCAACAGCCCGGGAAACAGGTCTGCGATCTGACTCAAAAGTAAATGGAGGCTTTCCCTTCATAGCTTGTCCGTGTCTTGTGCTCAGTTAAAACACAGGGGGCGCTGTAACCTCCCGTGACGGGGTAAACGCTTTCAGTTCCATCAGAAAGGAGTGCTGTATTTATTTTTATTTCTATCTAGATAGGACATCTTTCCCATCTCATCTAATTCAAACAAGACTTTGTGTAAAACAATTTAAGCAGAGTCTGGAAAGTTCATGCTGCTGCGTCAGGGGCGCTCCAGATCTCCTCCGTCTCCTGTCTCAGCCCCCACATCATGGTTTGGTCTGTATGAGACTGAGATTCACTTGTTCATATAGAAAGTTATGTCTTGGAGATGCATCTATGACACCATGTTCTCCATGCTATAGAGCTTTGACATAACTGTGGGGGTGGGTTTTGGGGGCGGGGGGCGGCGTTAAGAGCTGCTCTTTTCTTTAAAAGAGCTCCATGCCTTTCTGTGGCCCATCCCACCCTACAGACACTCAGATAACCGCCCAACTCCGCAGAAAAGAATTCCTGCCAAGATGTTTTTGCATTGGAGAACAGTTATTTATTTTTTTGGTCACTTTATGCCAAAGTGTTATCTACACTTGTAGTAAAATGTCTTTATCTGGATATCTCCAGGAGAGAGTATGGGTTGTTGTTTTTCCCCCCCAGTATGGAGGAGACTAGAATAAAAATATTTCTCTTTGAAGTCTCAGACCAAAATCTCAACCCGAGGTCTCAGCATTTCTCACGTGGATGGGTAGCTAATCTGAGATCCTCACGCCTCCACCTCAATGTCTAGGTCAAGCCTGTCCGGCCTGGAGACCAGTGTGCACATTCCTCACCAGCCGCACAGCCACGCCCATCCTTTGTGCTTTCCAGTCCCTCCCCCAGGTAACCCCGGCCCCCACTTAACTCATCACCTTCCCACTAATGTGGTCACAGAGGTGACCTTGTGCTAGACTCCACCATCACCTGGGGGAGCAGGAACCCCTTCCCAGCCAGATGGACTCAGGTTTTCCTTCATTTGATCACCTTGTAACACAAGCCTCTGGCAAAAGAAAGCGATTGTGGCTACACTGCTTGTCACAAGTTAGGGGAAAACCCTATAAATTGGCCTTTGTTCTTCACGCGATTTCAGGTTCATTGCACGCAATTACATAAACCCCCACAGATCAGTGGAGAAGTTCAAAGCTGCAGGGCCATGTGATACCGATGAGAAAATCCAGCTCCACGCCGTGGAGAAGTATTTGTTTCAGCTGCTGCTGTTTCAAAGAACCTTTCCAAAATTCCTGATCATGTTTATTAAGGACGTGAGAAATGATCTCTAACCAGGCTGGGCCAAGATGGAAACGTGTGGCCTGCATGAAATGCAATGCACCGTGGAAAATAACCGTTTCCCCTCATATTCATCCCGACCCCCAAGTCTATCTTACCAAAGCGACCGGGCAAACCTGACATTTTACGACATTTCCACATTTAACACTGTCGTAGTGCTAGTGCAAATTAAGGAGAACTCTTATAACCCAGAAAAAGCTGTCCAATAAGTTAGTGGTTAGTATTCGCTTGGTGGAATTCTTCTCCCTGGCACCCAAGAAGAATCATTGGGGCCAACAAAGGCTTTGAGCACTTAAAAATAACTGGAAGAGAAGTTTTCCAACTCATTTGCTCTAATGCAACACTCAGGAAGTATGTCTGCATTCACAAAACTGCCCTTTCTCATCGGTAACACAGGAAGCCTCCCCACCACCCCTGTTCCCCAATTCTGTGCATGTTGCAAAGCCCACCGACGTGTCTGCTTGAGACTAAGGCCCTCCGGATTTCCAGTCCACACCCCACTGGGCTCCTGGTGCTGTCCCAACAGAGGAGGTAGGCTTGCTAAGAGACCCTGGCAAAGGGCCAGGTGGCAGCATGCCATCTTTTTGAAAGTCAACAATAAGACCAGCTGTGAGCCAGCTTAAGAGGCCACAAAGGCCACAGCGGTGGAAGAGAGCAGGAGGGTGCCTGGAGCAGGAAAGGCACTGACTGCTACAAAGCTCCACCTTCCTTGCAGGTACCGATCAGTGGTTCTCCTTTCCTCAATTGGCCAGCTCTTCAAACCATTCTTGGCGAGGAGGTGGAGAAGAGATGGGAAGCGTCCCTGCCCCAACAGGGCTCACAGATGCCTGCTCTCAGGAGCTCCTGGCCTTGCTTGGTTGATCTCCACAGCCAGGCACCCTTCTCCAAGCATCTGCCTGCCCCTCATCAAACAGCATCAGTCACACTGGCGTCCAGCTGCCTGGCAATCTTCCCGATGGGGGCCACGGGGAACAGACTGTCCCTGCCGTTCCCCCCCCCCCAATTGGGGTCTGCTCTAAAGATCACCGAGGTGGCTGCTCAGAGACGCTGCAATTGAAGTTCCATGCTCGCTCTGCACCCTCACAGGGCAGCCCGAAGAGCTTCCCTGGACCCCACAGTGGGTCGGCAGCAGGACAAGTCCTCATCCTCGGAGTCTGTCTTCACAAAGCAAGGGCAACTTGCAAGAATCCAGCCTTGGAAGGAACAAAGCCTTGACTTCAAACACACAGAAGTGCAGCAAGCCCCCTTGACGCTATGAAATGGGCTGGGCTCATAGGCACCTCTACACTACCCTCAGGAGGCCAGATCAAGCCCAGGCCTGGGTCGCACTAGCCAGTCAGTGCCATGTGCAAACCAGCGAGAGTGAGGCCTGTCTCATGAGATCCTTCCTTCAACTCAAGGAGGCACCAGAGTTGGGGTCAGCTGCTTGGCGTGCTGAGAGGAAGGTGGCCATGGAGGCAAGGACGGAGGCAGAATCCGTTCTCTACAGGCATCCACGTAGTTCATCACATACATCTTTGTTATTTAAAATCCAAGTTTCCAGTGTAACAACTTGTGGGCTTATTGCAGCTACCCCACTGGTGGTTTCTCTTTCTCTTCCCATCAGACTTGCCCCAAGTGCATGGGCTGTTATTTTGTTAACTTCCAAGGACCTCACATTCACAGATCCTTCTGGGCTTACAGGGAGAATCCCTACTAATGTAAATACCCCAACTGTGAGCTGGCTGAGGCCTCTTCCCTTTCTAAAGATGGGCAGATATATGTGGCTGCTCCCAGGCACTTGAGGGGAGAAATTTTTCTTCAGCATAAAGCCCCTCAGATTGGTGACTCCCCTGATGTTCCTGACCACGAGCAGCACCTCCGCCAGCCTCACGGCACTTGTGCTGGTTGCTTGGAATTGAATTGCCTGTGACTGTATCAGGTAGGTACGTGGACATGTACTAGCATATGTGTGTGGACGTGTGTGCGCGCACATACACATTTTGGGTCCTCCTTATAACAAAAATCAAAAGTCCTTGTGAATGAAGGAAAGGAGAAGAGCAGAGATCCAAGGATGGGGAGCTGTCAGCTGGCTTCTCCATCCAGGCTGCCAATGGTGGCTTGTCAGGAGCTGAAGGTTTTCAGTGCTTCTGTGGAAGGAAGGCACCCAGCTTCCTGTGGGTCTTCTCGTGTCATCAGCGGCCATTGTGGTGTCTGGATCCCCTCCTTCTGTGGCTCAGATTGTTTCTGGGGTCTCGGCTATCTCCTCCAGCCTCTGCCGAATCATTAGCCGGAGCACGGTGTACCTGGGAACAGAAACAGCCGCGCTGGAGAGCAGGAAGCAACACACACCTCCTCTCCACCCTGCTTCCCAACCCAGGTCACAGTGTGGGCGACTGTCCTGTCCCTTTGCTTCTGTCAGTGGCCCACTCTTTAGCCACTTGGCTGCTTGTGTTCATTTCCACAACCTGGTGAGAGGGACTAAAGAAGCTAACCCCAACCTAGATTGCTTTCCTATAGTTAGAAAGTCTGGCAAAGAAGAGTGAGAAGGTGGAATAACAACAGAAACAATGATAAGGGTCCCATTAACGGAGTGCTTACCGTGCCCGAGGCACTGTGCGTAGTCCTCTATACTCACAATAGCATATAGACCAGTGATGGCGAACCTATGACACGCGTGTCAGAGGTGACACTCGAACTCACTTTTTTGGTTGATTTTTCTTTGTTAAATGGCATTTAAATATATAAAATAAATATCAAAAATATAAATCTTTGTTTTACTATGGTTGCAAATATCAAAAAATTTCTATATGTGACACGGCACCAGAGTTAAGTTAGGGGTTTTTCAAAATGCTGACACGCTGAGCTCAAAAGGTTTGCCATCACTGATATAGACCCTCACCTAGGCTGGGCCCGTATGAAAATTACCATTATCTAACTATTATTGGGTGTGTGGGGGGGGCCTACAAAAACGACCACTTCATGTGGTTCAACCCTGATGCCAGTTCCTGAATTTTACAGAAGAGGCCATAGCAACTACCAGGCCTGGAGGCCCATGCCTCGCTGGTGAATGCAATATCCCCATCCCTTCCCTGAACTATAGCAATGCAGGGCTAAAGGGGAAATTCCTCATGTTCAGGTCTTTGCACTGCACAGCAAACGCTATTTTTAAAGTTTGGTGCATAGTAAGTGTTCAATAAATGTTAACTGCTATCATACTTGCTATTATCATCGATACAGCAAATATAGCACTGGCTTTCTTCTCTAGTGGCAAAAACTAATCAATTGTTCTACCACATTCTACTTTATGACTGTGCATTTCAAAAAAAAAAATCAAAATCCTTTCCATAGAGAAGTTTTACTGAACTTGCCAGCCAAGTGCAATTTCCACAAGAGAAATGTTAAAAAGAGAAGAAAGGTGTGAGGAAAGGACTTCAGTGGTAGGTTGCTCAGGCTACTCGCCACTGCTAAGACAACCTGCCTGAAGTCTCCAGAACATGTCCATGTCTCACATCAAATTGAGAAGCAGAGAAACCAAGGCACTGAAGTTTGGTGTCGCCATCTAAGATTTGGATTCATCAGAGGGAAGGTCCCTGAAGAAGGCTGAGAAGACGCAGCCCATGCAGCAGCCCAGCCCCAGGCAAGGCACCTGAACAGAGCCCTCCCACTGAGGCCCCAGGAGAAACCCAACCAGCCACCCGGGGGCCATGCCTACTTGCGCATCAGCTTCTTTACTTCCCGATCTTCCTCCTCTTGGAGCTTCTGAATGAAGCTTTTGAGGACAGGCATCTCGAACTTTATGTACTGGGCCACCTGGGGAGGAAGAAGTAAGTAATGCTGGGTGCCTCCCCCTCCCAGCATTATTCCAATGCCTTTGGGCATCCCTCTCCTATAAGGCACAGAGCCTTGGGGAATCTATTTCTGTATTGATCCTAGATTTCCTTAAAGGCAGGAGCCACGCCTCATTCTTCCAAGGCTGATATAGAGTCTGCAGAGAAGAGCCCTTCATGTACCATACATGGCACATATCTCATACCTCGCATTTCTCGTCTCATGTATCCAATCCATGCTTGATTGATGTCCAACATGGAATAGCACTTTCTCCTAATTCCACGATGCAGAGAAAGGCCTGAACCCATAACATTTAATGCACCTCCCTGCTCTCCCCTAAGAGAATTTAAGGAACCGTGACTCAGAATGATGACTGGGTCTCCGGTCTCAAATAGGCATCTGAATGTGAACTTGATCCTGTGATGCTGTGGGTGGGGTGACTCCAGGTAAGTTGAAGTTAAACAACCATTTCTTCCTCCCCCACCAGAATCCTTACCCTACTCTATCCACTCTTCTCCCTGGGAGAAGTATATTTCTCCACCCTCTTCATGTTGGGCTTGGCTATGTGACTTGCTTTGGCCAGTGGAATGTATATGGACACGACATACAGCAAATCTGAGAGGCTTCAAATGAGCTTACATGGTTTGGCCTGGTCTCTTGCATCCCGGCCATCGGCCATGAGAAGCATACCCCAGGTAGCCACTGCCCCTTGAGCTTGGGTCTCTGAAGGAGACATGCAATGCAGATCCTCAACCCACAGCCTAGAGCAGAGCTGCTGCTACCAGCCTGCAGAATCCTGAGCAAAAAGTGTTTGCTGTTGTCAATGGCTAAGATTTGGATGTTTCTTACTGTAGCAAAAGCTGACTAATACACAAGATAAGGTGAAATCACTGCTAACTTCTTGAAGTTGCTAAGAGATGGTTTTCAGAAACTTCTCAGCCCTCTTACAGGACCACTTTCAGTACAGGCTCAAGACATTTATTCCTTTTATGGAAATCACTTCGTGCTTAAACATTCCCCCAACAACTCCCACGGGGCACACCCTCAAACTAGTCCCTTACATTTATTCTCCTGGACCATGGCCATTCCTGCTTCGACAAAACCTTGTATTAAGGAATGGCAACAGCATGGGGCATGGTCCTTAGCCAGAAAATCAAGCTCTAGCCCAGTTGCAGGTAAACCAAACAAACCCCCACCCTCCTGCGGACAGTCCATCTACTAAAAGGGGACTCACATCATAGGTGACTTCCTCCACCTGATCCTTCTCCATAAGGAACACTTTGGAGACCTGCTCACACGGGCCCTGGAGGATCCGGGCAATCAGCGGGTAATCGGTGTTCTTCAGCTTCTGTTTTTCTGGAACCACACACAGCCAAGAGCAGCCCTGAGTTTGGCCTGAGGCCTTTGTCACCATAAGTAGGGGTCCACTCAGGGGCCCAAATGGAACAGGCACCTTAGGAGATGCGGCCATACAAGTCAGGAGACTGATTTGCAAATGTGCAATTTAATAAATGTTGTTCAATGCAACTGTTCCCTCTCCTCTCCCCAGCAATACTCCTGTGCCTCGAACCCTTTGGAAGATGCTGCAATGGAGGAATTGGTTTTATCTGTCTCCCAAGAAAATCCACTTCCTTTTTTAATAGGCAGTTAGGTTCTAGGGCTTGCTTACTGACCACACCTGGCATTCCACCAGCCTTGGAGGCAAACGGCACTTGAAAGTTTCCAAACGATAAACAAGCAAAATGAGGCAGAGGTTGGTTTTGTGTATGTGTGTTTTTTTAACTTACTATTCTGAGTTAATTAAAAGTTTTAAAGTACACCATGTTCTTCAGACTTACCACCGCTGGTATGGACCACGTACAAAGCAAACTCTTCTGCCGAATTCTCAATCTGAATCAGAAGCAAAAGATGCTTGGTGAAAGCACACATTACACACCCGGACCCGAGCCATTCCTGCCTCACTGCAAAGCTACATAGGTTTGTGGCTCTTTTGAGGGAGGGCTGTTCATCTGCAGCTCTCTCAGAAGTGATAAGGAAATGGGCAGCAGGTGACGTTATCAGTGATAATAGATAAGAGCTACCATTTATTGGATTGGGTGAGGTGTTTCTACATTTTAACACTTTATGTCTTAACTCACCTAATCCCCCGTAATACGGTCCTATTATCCTCATTTTACAGATGAAGAAGCAGAAGCACAGAGAGCTTAAGTAACTCATCCAATCAGCAAGTAGGTGATGGACGGGATTTGAACCCAGAGCCTGTGCCCTTAGGCCCAGGGGTGGGCAAACTTTTTGACTCGAGGGCCACAATGGGTTCTTAAACTGGACTGGAGGGCCAGAACAAAAGCATGGATGGAGTGTTTGTGTGAACTAATATAAATTCAAAGTAAACATCATTACATAAAAGGGTACGGTCTTTTTTTTTTAGTTTTATTCATTTCAAACGGGCCGGATCGGCCTGCGGGCCGTAGTTTGCCCAGCCACTAGGTGACATTGGCTTCCATTAAAATAAGAATACCTGGTCTCCCAAAGATTTATAGTAAGGGGATTGTGAAAAACACACAGAATGACAGGATGTTAAAACATTCATGCACTATCATTTGCACATCTTATCGAAGGTTCATTTTCAAAGTAGGTTCCCCAACCTACTTAGTGCACAGGACCCCAAACTAGTTGGGAGGCCCGCAGTCCTTCCAGCGGTTTATAAAGCACCCAAGGGCGGGAGCCGCTCGGGCTTCTGTGGCCCCAGAATTCCCTGCGAGCCTTGGGGAACAGGTTCCCTGGCCTCCCCTCCAAGCTTCAGATCCACCCATTTTGATTCAGGCGGGGGGCCTGAGCTTTTGCTTTTTTAAGGAGTTCCCAGGGGATGCTCCTGCCTGGGGTCCAAAGAACTCAAACTTCTGCCTGATGCCCCCCTCACCACGTTTTCCACAGCCCCCCCCCCCCCCCCACACACACACACACCTCTGGGGCCACCAAGGCACACGTGCTGCCTCCTGAAACCAACCAGCAGAGGGAACTTGCCTTAAATTTGTTGAGCAGCAGCTTCAGGACCTGCGGGGTGGTCATGGTGCTGTTGATTCGGACGTTGGTGACGGAGCCATAGGCCGGGGTGAACACCGATGTCTGCCAATAGAGGGGTCCAGCTCAGGGTGGGAGTGGGGACAAGGACGGGAAACACCGAGGAGTCCCACCCAGTTCCCAGAACTAAAGGGCACAGGGACAATCACACTCAACCTGTGCTCACTGACAGCCCTCAAATAACCTGGCAAGTATTGGGCTATGTTGTCAACAGAGCCCTCGGCTTTGCCTAACTCAGGAGCTCGAGGGGGCTGATCTCCAAGGGGCAGGGTTGGGGAGGGGACAGGACTAGATAAGGGAGGCCCTCTCTCCCAATAAAACACACAAAGTCCCTTCCACTGCGACTTCAACGCAAGGACTCTAACCACTCCCTCACGATGCACCTGCCTCTGGGGCCAGATGTGACCCAGGCAGTAGGAGGGAAGGAGGGTCAGCTAATTGGGGTGGAGTCCTAATACCCCCTATCTGAGTCCCACAGCTCTGCTTAGGGCAGTGATGGCGAACCTTTTGAGCTCGGCGTGTCAGCATTTTGAAAAACCCTAACTTAACTCTGGTGCCGTGTCACATATAGAAATTTTTTGATATTTGCAACCATAGTAAAACAAAGACTGATATTTTTGATATTTATTTTATATATTTAAATGCCATTTAACAAAGAAAAATCAACCAAAAAAATGAATTCGCGTGTCACCTCTGACACGCATGTCATAGGTTCGCCATCACTGGCTTAGGGGGTGGCCTTAGCTCATGGAAAAGTCAGACCACACAGCAGCTGGGAGGCAGGAAGAGGAATTTTCTGGTATCCAATGAGGGGTGTCTGTGGAATCATCTCACCCACCACCTAGGGGGTTTCCTGCTCTGGGATTCCTTGTTCCTCACAGAGCCAGCAGCCCACCCACAACTCAAAGAATGAATGGTAAATACTTGGCTTCCCCGGTGTCTGTCGCCCTGAGGTGTCAGCTGCCTAGGAAGGACCTTTGCCCCCCACCTTCAGATTGTCCCCTGCCCCCCGCCACCCTGTCCCCTCTACCTTGTGGTTGTAGAAATGGCCATTAATGGAGAAGCGGTGGCGTCTGATTCGCCGCTGGTCGCTGGTTGTCCTCACATTGCCGCGGCGACGCACCCCAACGTCACTGCGTGTGCGCATCAGCTGCGGGGTGTCTTCCTGCACGGGCATCAGGTCCCTGGAGTCTGAGAGGAAGAGGGAAATGAGCTCTGTCTGCCGGCACCAACGTGTGGCAGTTTGCATACGGTGCCCTCTTGGTGGCCAACGCTATAGCACTCACTTACTGCCCAAACATATCCCATATAATAAAGAGGCAATATGCAAATTGATGGTCACACCCTCACACAAGATAGCTGCCCCCATGTGGGCACAAGATGGCCAACAGGGGAGGGCAGTTGTGGTGATCAGGCCGGGAGGGGAGGGCAGTTGGGGGGGACCAGGCCTGCAGGGGAGGGCAGTTGGGGGGGGGACCAGGTCTGCAAGGAAGGGCAGTTGGGGGGACCAAGCCTGCAGGGGAAGGCAGTTGGGGGCAATTGGGTCAGCAGGGGAGCAGTTAGGCATCAATCAGGCTGGCAGGGGAGTGGTTAGGGGCGATCAGGCTGGCAGGCAGAAGTGGTTAGGGGCAATCAGGCAGGCAGGCAGGTGAGTGGTTGGGAGCCAGCAGTCCTGGATTGTGAGGGGGTCCCAGATTGGAGAGGGTGCAGGCTAGGCTGAGGGACAACCCCCATGCCCCCCTGCCTCCCCCCAGTGCATGAATTTCGTGCACTGGGCCTCTAGTATTTTATAAAATCAGTATTTACTGCCAGGGAACAACACAATGCATAACTTACTGAGACGCAATACAAGGTTTAGAGCCCACACTTCAGAGCCAGACTCCCAGATTCTAATCCCAACTCTACCATTGCTATGAATCACTAACCTCTCTTGCTTCAGTTTCCTCATCTATAAAATGGGAATAATAACGGCACCCAGCCCATGGGGTTGTTGTGAGGGTTTAAATGAGTCAATTCATGTAAAGCACTTGGAACAATGCCTGACATAGGATAAGCACGATAAAAGAACTTGAAAGGAATTGCAAACTGACTATCAAAGTTACAAATGCTTATGGCCTCAGACCTGGCAATCCCCCCTTGAAAGAATCCTACAGACACAGACAAATGTGTGAAATGACACGTCAACAAGGCCACTGACTGGAACCTTGTTTGTCGGAGCAAAAGACTGGAAATGACTTACATGCCTATCAATAGGGAACGATTACAGAAATGGTCATTTTTCCATACAATGGGATACTGCGGAGCTATGAAGAATGCAGAAGTTCTTTATGGATTTGTATGGGACAATCCTCAAGACAAACTGATATAGAAACAGGGATGTGCAAATGCTACCACTTATATAAAAAGGGGAAGAAAAGAATTGACATCCAGCCGTAAAGGTCTCTGGGTGTATATTTGCTTATATTTGCAAAGAATAGCTCAGGAGGATGCCTTGAAGTTGCTTCTATGGAGGGAACCACATAGAAACCTTTTCATTCTTTTTAATATTTCTGAATGGAAACCATATGGAAACCTTTTCATTCTTTTTAATATTTCTGAATCTTGACCATGTGGATTTTATTTTATTCAAAGTAAATAACAGTTTACAGCATCTATCAAATCAGTCTTCACA